AGAGAGCGACCCATATGCCCCTCCTCGCTCTCTCACGTAATGGAACGCTCGGTGGCGTATCAGTCGACCAAAAAGGCGTTGTGGTCCGATCATGCGTGTGTTTATAAGAGAGGTTTACTTACAAAGCCTACGGTATCAAAAGGGACGAGGAGATTGTAATTATACAAATTATACGTGCAATGCCCCTGTTGATGGTGACCCTGCCCTAGTTAATTACGAGAAAAATGTCTGTCTGCACCCAGGAGGAGCTAAGAATGCGAGAGAATAGGGAGTGGGTCTAGGTTCCCATTATACTGTCACTCGCTCTCTTTTTTTCATTTCCTCGAGGACGAGGGCGAGAGATTAGGACTGGAGGGGAGATAGAGGTCGTGCATGTTTGACAGCTACGCGAAAAGCGTGTTATGCGAGATTTGCGGTCGGGAAGACTGGTAGTGAATTGTCGATCATGCCTGTCGGAACTCGAGGTTCTTGCGTGACGAGTGAGGTGGGCGTCGTGCTGCGAGGTGTGCATATGCAGAGAGTGCGACAAGGCATAGAGAGGTGATTGGGCGCGTGGCAGTTGAAGCGGTCGGGTATTCTGACTAGCCTGGCTAACCGGGACCATGCCCAAAGAAGCGATAGACGGCAACGGCAAAATGGAATTGAGCCCAAGGGGTGGGAGTACATGGAGCCTCCTCAATCTAAAGCACGCCTCGCCCGATTCTATAGCCCTGGGTTGGGCGTCCACATGGTTTCAGACCAAGGCGTTCGTTAATTAGTGCTAGTGAGGTGGCGTTGTGAGTACAAACGAGAACTCGAGGAGAACATACCAGAAGAAGAGCGATGTTCGTGATGGGCGAGCAGAAGAGACTTGGTGTTTTCGATGTTTCAAGTGCGCTGGAGTCCTGGTGCGATGTGTTTCAGGTCTGCAAGTTCTAAAATCAACAGGATTGTAGTGGAGAAACCTGCCTATAATGGTGAAACGGCGTGGTGTGTACAAAAAAGATGAGATGCAGTTGCCACTGCCAATTAGCATTACGATACTGATACTTCTGGTTCTTGAGCTTCCTGTCTGAGACAGGGCTAGCGATAATAATATTTTAGTCTTGTGTCGTTTTGGCTGATTGGGAAGGCATTCATATGTTGAGCCGAATGAACCGCGCCAAACATCGACATTCATTGCCATTTCCAGAATTCAACCCATTTCAAATAATATTTAATAAAAAATTATTATTATTTATAATGCCTGCTTTTGATGGACATTCGAATGGACACATGTCTCATTCAAATCCTTGTAAGCCCGATATCCCGCGCTTTTGTTCATAAGTGACCCATTTATCAGGCAAGCCAAAACTTGTTCATTTCCCCCCCTCACTCTCTCTCGCTCCTCTGGTTTAATTCTCTCTTCACTCGCTATCATCCTTAATATCGTCTACTCCAGTGCCCAGAGAGAGTTTTAGCCTCTGCTCGTCGTTCGTGCCAGTGCCCACAAGTCTCCTCCACTGTGCGTACCATTCCCAAGCCCACCGAGCTGCCACTCCCTCTCTCTTGCACGCCTGCTGATCCTCTTTTCTCTCTACAGACAGGAAACTGCCAGTTGCTCGAACTCGATTCATCGGCTCCACTTTAACCGCTTACCAGTACTAGTAACCGCTTCGAGCGTCGACAGTCGACTCGCCCCTGATTCAGGCCCATCGCCCAGTTTGCCCCCCCTATCAAACTTTGGTCCCTACCTCCCCTCGACTGCCACTCCCCCTCCACTCTACAGCCAACTTTTTAGTACTCAAACCACACTCATCATCCCTTTAATCGCCTCGTAATCTACCATGCAGCAATATTCGACCACCGACGATCTCTACCACCTCGACGCCTTCTACTCGTCCCAAGCGACAGAGACTGCTTCGTCCCATCTCCAGTATGCTTCTTATCCCGGGCTGGTCAGCGCCCCATCCCTTAATTATTGCACTCCCCAAACCACGAACAATGGATTCGCTTCCCAGCATCCCCAGTACTCGAACGCCTATGACCAAAACTGCCTCCCCCAGCGACACGTCCCCTCGACCCGTGCCTACAGCTACCACCCCTACAGTGGTGGCTCCACCGGCCCAGTGACCCCAGGTGCTTACAGCCCGGTCCAAGTCTCACCCCGAGTGTCGCATTACGTCTCGCCTTGGGAGACGGCCTCTGGTCTCATCAGCGCCAGCTCCTTGAGCGTTGGAAACGAGTATTCGTTCGTAGATTATAGCGTGCTCAACGGCATGCACGGAAATGGAACGATCCACCCCTCCCAGTTGTTCAACACGCAACCCGAGTCTTGCGCTACTGCTGCCACTGTTGCTACCGTCCCGACTACCGTGGACCCTCACTCTTTGACCTCCCACACTCTTTACAACAACGGTACCGTAAACCCTTATAACACCTACAACGCTTATCCTACGAGCTTGTACTCGCAACACCAGCAGCAGCAGCAACAACAGCAACAACAACTCCCGACGTGCATCAACCCCGAGGATCTCTACACCCCCCTTCCACTCACCCCAGTCTCTCCCGCCTCCCTTGAGGATTCATCGTCATCCGACGACAGAGACTCGTCCCCCCTCAGCGCGGACTCGGCCGAGCTCCCAACTCCCTCGCTCTCGTCGACATCCACCCGTAGCACTCCTGCTCGCCCAGGACTCACGATCCCCACCGTGTCATTGATCAGCAAGCAACACCAAGAGACCCCCATCTGGTCCAACTCCAACTCGACGCTTCCCTCGCCCGTCGACTCGCTATCGAGCAAGGCTTCTTCCTCTGACCACGAGCCATCCTTCATCCCCACCCCATCCCTCAAGAAGTCGACCGCTTCCGTAAAGGGTGCCAAGCGAGCCACTCGCTCGGCTGCTCCGGAACCGGCCTGGGTCGAAGCCGTCCTCAAGGAGGATGCCAACCGAATTCTCCAACAGGATAGCGCGGTCAGCCCGACTGCTCCTGCTCGTGGTGCTAATAGGCCAATTGCTTTTGCTTGCGTGTTTTGCCGACACCGAAAGATCCAGTGCATCCGTCCGAAGACGGAAGTCGCTCCAGGTGAAAAGCCTGCCCCTTGCAAGTGAGTACAACACACTCGAGTAATGATATATACTAATGACCGCTCTAGTCAATGTGAGAAGAGGAACCGATGCTGCGAGTACCCACCCGCGGCTTTGAACCCTCGCGTTGTCCGAAGAGCACGAGACCGACCCAGCTCTACCTCTGTTTCAGTAGCTGGTGAATGCTGATCGTCTCGATACACTCTGTCGTGTCTGGATTCGGTCTTTTATTCGTCTCCTATCTCCCCTACACCTCTTGCTAGACGGACAAGTTTTTTTGATCTCACTGCGAGCAGTGCCTCCATGGTTTTCAATCCCTCCGCCCTCTCCGCGCCTCGTCTCTCGTCTTCCTTGTCTTCTTGTCATCCTCAACCTTGCTATACTCCCCTA